ATATATATATATATATATATATATATATTAATTTTTCTAGAAGATATAATAAAAGTACAATATAAATACATTAAAGTAAGCTGCAAATAAAATCTAAATCTAAAAATCTAAAAAAAGCGTTCATACTATTCTAGTATTTTCTCGTAAAGGAGCTTCTCAATTCTGTACAATTTGGCGCAAACGCAGAAATATCCGACGTTGTGAAATGCTTGGAAAAATACACTTAATACACGAAATGTATTCTCATTCGCGCCGGTATTAACGACCGTCTGTAAATATCGAATTGTGTAGGCAAGATTATATGGCATACGTTTCAAATCGATTTCCGATCGACGCTCCGCTGTACGTCCATTCGCTGACATTTCCCTTCAACGAAAACGTCTAACGGAGCAGGACATTGACATTGCGTTTCAAGTTTCGAGCACAAAGGCTGTCAGTGCTACTTCGCACTCCGATTCGTTTTTAAATGAACGTGAATATCGATCGGCTCGCGCAATTCTCCGCGCATAATAACGCCCTGAATAATAATGTAAATGTCACAAATGCAAATTCCCGCCGCCGTAAATGCGGCTCGCGCGCACAACCATAAGTAATTTACAGTGTGCCCGATTAACGCGAGTGGCATCGCCCCGCTGAAATGTTTACTCGCGATCGGCGCGGCCCCGCTAAATCAACTAAATCATCGAAAGGCTCGTGTCAGCGAGGATTTTCATTTTTGGCAGTTGACGAAAATGGTCGGCTGTTACTCGCTCGCTCAAAACAGATATTAATTCAGTTTTACAACCACTCCCCTTACATTTGCGCTCCCGCGCTCCCGCGCTCGAAAAATGGACCCGTTTAAATGGAGCGTCTGCTACGCTAGCCAGAACGGATAGTAATCTCGACCTATGTATATATTATAACAAGAGAGTGATGTTTTAATTAAAACAAAAAATTATGTACCTGAAAATTCTGATGGCGTGAGTTTATTACCGTCGGACCTCCGGATATTTCGTTGTTACAAGCGCAACCGATTACAAGAGAGAGATAACGCTTCTCTGTCATTCTTGATATGTAAACAGGGAAATCTACTATTCCACGATAGAAAACGTGCCGGCGAATTTTTTCGCGATAATTAATCCATCGCCGACCAGGTCTCTTTATGGATTTCTGTTAATTTCGAAATTAAATTCAGCAGTGCAGCTTAATTATGTCATCGATCGTCCGCCATTGCGTACTTGGGAATATGTAAAAGACCTGGGCTGCGATATATGCGTTCTCTGGTAGCGGTTTTAATGCTGCAACTAAATCGTAGGAACTACACACGAGAAATGCCGAGTACGGAATAGTATCGAGTGTGAGAAGTAAAGAAGAAATCCGACGATATACAGATATATCGATTGTAAGAATATAAGCCGTGCGATTATATCTCGGATAGTACGATATACTCCGATTTATTTTTACATTTATTGTTCGGTGAATAAATCAATATTCATACGGGGTGGTAAGTCAAATTTAGACTTTACACTTGTTCTTATTCTCGCCGATGGACTTGCACGTCTCCCAACGGACGAGGTCGGCGATAAAAATTCCAATTTTTAATAATCTCACTATCCAGAAATATTCCATATGCTTATTTTGTTAAGCAAATTACGTGTACTTATCAAAATAATTACGTGCATCGAAACTCGGGGGA